CTGGTACCAAAAAAGAAAAAAAAAAGTATTTGCTGCCATATCTTCAGGGTACTAGTGACTGGCACATTAGCAAGTAGGTGCTCAATAAACATCCCTTAAATGGGGAAGTGTGCCAGGTATATACAAGGAATTCAGTAAACATGTTCAGGTTGATGTAGGAGCTGAGTACTGATTAGCCAGTTGGAAGAACTACACGAAGTTTTTACATAGGGTTAATTCCAGCAGCTAAGAGACCTGACTGGACCCAGGGGATGTGGATTTGAATGACAGTGACTTGGTGATAGAATCTTTGAAAATGCTCCAATGTGAGCACACTAGTGAAAGGAATTCCATTGGGATCATTCTGTAAAGTGATAAATGCACTAGTAAAGTAAACTTCACCCAGACATTGTCGTATAAGCTGGGTGTTCTAGTCTGTTACCTTCTACTCAGCAGATGTTTATAAGCATTATGTATGCAAAGCTCCGGACCATCTCTCAGGACCTGACTAATGGAAGGAAGCAAGGACCACCCAACAGACTCAGGGCCCATGGGTTGCAGTTGGGAGAACTGAACGCCAGAGAGGTCACTGCAGGAAGCAGGAGCACCAGTCCTAGGCATGCCCTGGCTTTGTCCCCATAACCCTGTAACACTGCTTTCAAAGTCAGCAGCTGGACTACATTCTAGACTGTAATAGCCAAAGTAACACTTTGTAACTCAACAAGGGACTGGATCAGGATGTATCCTTGCCTCTTGTTCCTGATTTGGGTCCTAGGAAATTAAATGACTTGGCCCCCTTCCCAGACCCCAGTACAATTTAGTTCCTCCCACAGAGCCTAGCTCAACTCATAGTGCAAGCATATGCTGCCCCCTTCTGGTCACTGTCCATCCTGGTTCACCAGCAAGACTCCATGCCTGTCAACTCAAAACACTTGCCATTGTTTATCTTGAGGAGTCCTTCCCAAAATACTGGGAGAAGACAAATGTCAACATTTCTGTTCTCACTTTACAAATGAGTGGCATCACCAGATGTGGTAGCTCATGTCTATAAACACAGTGCTATGAGAAGTTGAGGCAGGAGAAACACCAGTTTGAGCCTAGGCTGGGCAACCAGGGCCCCTAGTGGTACTAGGGAGGTAGTAACTCAGCGTAGAGGCCCTGAGTTCAGTCTCCAATGTGCATTAAGTTAGTGGCAGTGAGACTGTTCGGGACCCTCCAGGCTTCCAGGTGCAGTGAAGTGGCTAAGTGGGTCTGAGGTGCCTAAATCCGCCTCCCCATTCCGGCTGCGCTCGGAGAACTGTGGACTTTCCAGCAAGCAGGCAGGCGCACACTATCCCTGGAGCCCAGCCTATTTGGGACTCTTGCACCCTCTGGGTGCAGAGTAAGGGCTGGGCGGATCTGGGACACCTGCATCCACCTCCCCATGTGTCTGGAGGACTGTGGATTTCTCAGCAAGCAGGCAAGAATCACCAGTTCCAGAGGTCCCGCGGCCTGCGGTAAATGCCAGTGCACTCTGCCCCAAGCCCAGACTGTTCGGGACCCTCGAGCCTTCCGGGTGCAGTGAAGTGGCTAAGTGGGCCCCAGGCACCTATATTCGCCTCCCCATTTCAGCTGCACTCGGAGAACTGTGGAGTTTTGAGCAAGCAGGCGGGCGCAGTGTCCCTGGAGCCCAGCTTACCTGGAACTACGGAGTTCTAAACAGGCAGAAGATGGCCACTAGTTCCTGAGGCCCAGTTGCCTTGGGGAACTGGGTGCCAGAGTCCCAGGAGCTGCGAACATAGAAGTGGATTTCCAACAGACCCTGAGGAAGCTTTCAGATAACACTTGAAACACAAAAATATAGGAAAATGACAAAACGAAAGACCAAATTACAACCTCAAACCTCCAGCCCATCTCAAGAAACCCTAGGAGCGCTATATATAGAAGAAAATATATGCCATACACCTCAAATATCGGACATAATAGCTACTGAAATAAACAAGCAACTCCAGTAAGCTTTAAAGGAATTCAAACTCGAAATAATCTCCCAGGTAAAAGAAGAAATGATAAAAGAAATGAAAGAGATTCTGAATATATCTAAAGAAAACAGTTTAAAAATTGGAGGAACTAAACAAAAAGATAGAATCCCTAGATGAGCAATATAAGAAACAAACAGAATACATAAAGCAGATGCACAGAGATATATAGGAAATAAAAAACTCCACTGAAAGCTGTAAAAACTGCCTCAATGAAAGTGAATTTCAGACTTTGAAGACAGGATTGCAGCTAGTGAACAGGAAAGGAAAGATCTTTTAAAAATAACAAGGAATCAGGAAATAACAATTCAACAACTGCAAGATGATGCAAAGAAAAATAACATAAGAATGATAGGGATTAATGAAAAAGAAGAAGACAAGATAAAGGATGTCAAGAGGATATTTAGAGAAGTAATAGCTGAAAATTTCCCAAGCATGAGATCAGAAACCGACATCAGGTTCAGTGAAGCCTATAGAACTCCAAATAGTCATAACCAAAATAAAACTACACCCAGACATACAATAATTACCATCCCAGAAATCCAACACAAGAATAGATTATTAAAAGCTATCAGAAAAGACAGACCACTTATAAAGGAAAACCCATCAGAATCACAGCAGACTTCTCAGCACAAACAATAAGTCAAGAAGAGCATGGAGTGAAGTATTCCAGATCCTAAAGCAAAATGATTTCCAACCTAGACTGATGTACCCTGCAAAACTATCATTCAAAATCGATGGTGAAATATGATACTTCCATGACAAAGAACAGCTGAAGAACTTCATGAACACCAAGCCAACCCTGCAAAAAATATTGAGACACAGTTTAGATACACAAAGGAAAACACCACTAAGCAAAGCAGATAATTAAACAGGACAGAAAGATAAAGATGCAACAGCAGAGAGATAACATGTCAACAATAAACCAGCATATAACAGTTATAACCATTAATGTAAATGGTCTCAATGCACCAATCAAAAGAAACAGACCAGCAGAATGGATCAAGAAACAAAATACAACCATATGCTGTTTACAGGAAACCCATCTAAGCCAGAAAGATACTCACAGACTGAAAGTCAAAGGATGGAAAACAATACTTCACGCAACAGGAATCCAATAAAAAGCAGGAGTGGCCATTCTGTTCGCAGAACCAACAATGATCATAAAGGACAAAGGCCACTACATACTCATTAGGGGAAAACTGCAAGAGGAAGAGATAACTATCTTAAATATATATGCACCAAACTCCAGAGCACCCAGTTATATAAAACAACTATTAACAGAAATGAAAACTCAAATTATCAGTAACACAATTGTAACAGGAGAACTTAACACGCCATTGACACCAAGGGACAGATCAACCAGACAGAAAATGAGCAAAGAAATAACAGAACTGAATCACACCTGTAAACAAATGGACTTGATAGACATATACAGAATGTTCCACCCAACAACATCAGAATACACACTCTTCTCAGCAGTACATGGGTCATTCTCTAAAATAGACCATATATTAGCTCACAGAACATATTTAAACATGTAATCAGTGGGTCACAGAGGAAATTAAACAATACCTACAAGAAAATGAAAATATAGATGCAACTTACCGGAATCTGTGGGATGCAATGAAAGCCGTCCTCAGAGAAAAATTTATTGCACTGAGTTCCCACATCAGGAAAACAGAACGAATACAAATAAATAACCTGATGCTACACCTCAAACAGCTAGAAAAAAAAAGAGCAAGTCAAGCCCAAAGCCAAAAGAAGAGAGGAAATTATAAAAATCAGAGCAGAAATCAACGCAATAGAGACTAAGAAAACAATCCAAAGAATCAATGAATCAAAGAGTTGGTTCTTTGAAAGAATAAATAAAATCGATAAGCCCCTAGCCAACCTTATTTTAAAATGAGAAGAAAGAGCTCAAATTCATGCAATAAGAAATGAAAAAAGTGAAATCACTACAGAAATACAGAAGATCATCAACACCTATTTTGAAAACCTCTACTCTCAAAGGTTTGATAGCACAGAAAAAATACAGATTCCTAGAAACATATGAAGTACCAAAGCTAGATCAAGAGGATGTAAAACTTCTGAATACACCCAATCTCTATTAATAAATTGAAAATGTAATTAAGTCCTTACCTACAAAGAAGAGCCCAAGCCCAGATGGATTCACTGCAGAATTCTACAAGAAATACAAAGAGGACCTAATGCCGACACTCCTCAAACTATTCAATGAAATTGAAAGGGAATCAATTCTTCCTAAGTCATTCCTGGAAGCAAATATTACTGTAGTACCAAAACCTAAGAAAGACCCACTGAAAAAGAGAACTATAGACCAATCTCCCTAAGGAACACAGATGCAAAAATCCTCAATAAAATATTGGCAAATAGGATGCAGCAAATCATCAAGAAGATTATACACCATGACCAAGTGGGATTCATCCCAGGAATGCAGGGATGGTTCAACATACGTAAATCAATAAATGTAATCCACCATATCAATAAAGCCAAAAGTAAGAATCACATGATCATTTCTATAGATGCAGAAAAAACCTTCGATAAGATCCAACATTCATTCATGATAAGAACTTTACAGAAAATTGGAATAGATGGTCTTTGCCTCAATAATAAAGGCCATTTATGACAAACGAACAGCCAGCATCACACTAAATGGCCAAAAATTGAAAGCCTTTACTTTAAAATCAGGCACAAGACAAGGATGTCCTTTATCACCACTCCTATTTAATATAGTATTGGAAGTACTAGCCAGAGCAATTAGACAAGAGAGAGAAATAAAAGGGTAAAGATAGGAAAAGAAGAAGTTAAATTATCATTGTTTGCAGATGACATGATACTCTACATAGAAGACCCCCTAAATTCCATTGAAAGACTTTTAGATATAATAAATAAATTCAGTTATGTAGCTGGATACAAAATCAATACTTAGAAATCAATAGCATTCCTATACACTAACAACAAAATCATAGACAGGGAAATAAAAGAAACCACACCCTTCACACTAGTAAGCAAAAAAATGAAATATTTAGGAATTACTCTTACGAAAGAAGTGAAAGACCTATACAGGGAAAATTATAATACACTGAAAAAAGAAATTGAAGATGATCTCAGAAAACGGAAAGACATCCCCTTGCTCATGGATAGGAAGAACAAACATTGTGAAAATGGCCATTCTCCCAAAACTGTTATACAGATTCAATGAAATCCCAATAAAAAATATCATCAACATACCTTATAAATCTAAAGAAATCACTCCTAAAATTCATCTGGAACCAGAAGAGACCTAGAATAGCAAAGGCAATTCTAAGCAGCAAAGGCAAGGCAGGAGGCATCACAATCCCTGACTTGAAGTTATACTACAAAGCAATAGTAGTAAAATCAGCATGATACTGGAATCAAAACAGAGCCGAAGATCAATGGAATAGACTAGAAGAAACAACCACAACTACAAACACACTCAACCACCTTATCTTTGATAAAGGAGCCAAGCAGGTTCACTGGAAGAACGACAGTCTCTTTAATAAATGGTGTTGGAAAAACTGGCTCTCCATTTGCCAAAAACTACCCATGCCTATCACCATGTACTAAATTAAAATCTAAATGGATCAAAGATCTGAATATTAAAACAGAAACACTAAATCTATTGGAAGACAAATTGGGTAGAAACCTTGAAGACATAAGGGTAGGTAGAGAATTCATGAACAGGACTCAAACCACACGGGAAATACTTCCCAGAATCAATAACTGGGACCACCTCTTATTAAAAAGTTTCTGCATGTCAAAAGAAATCTCCAGCATAGTGAAAAGAAAACCCACAAACTGGGAAAAGATCTTAGTGAACTCCCCCTCAGACAAGGGACTTTTGTCTAAAACATATAAGAAAATTTTAAAAAATAAGACCCCCAAAATTCAAAGATCCAATCCAAAATTGGACATCTGAGATGAATACGCACTTCTCAGATGAAGAAATACAGATAGCAAATAAACACATGAAAAAATGTTCAGCATCATTGGTCATTAGAGAAATGCAAATTAAAACAACACTGAGATTCCATCTCACTCCTGAAAGAATGGCCAGGATCAAGAAAACCGACAACAAATGCTGGAGAGGCTGTGGGGGAAAAGGAATTCTCCTACACTGTTGGTGGGAGTGTAGACTGGTACAACCTTTGTGGAGGTCAGTCTGGAGATTTCTCAAAAAGCTGGGATTGGAAGTCCCATTTGTTCCAGCTATTCCACTTCTAGGCATATTCCCAGAAGAACTAAAAGCATCATACCACAGTGATATATGTGCACCTATGTTTATAGCAGCACAATTTGTAATTGCCAGATCTTGGAAACAACCCAAGTGTCCATCAACTGAGGAATGGAAAAAAAGTTGTGGTATTTCTATACAATGGAGTATTACTCAGCTATAAAGAAGGATCACCTTGAGATATTTATCAATAAATGGGCGCAGCTTGAGACCATACTCATTAGTGAAATAAATCAATCGCGCATGTGTGAATACCGAATAGTTTCCCTAAGTAATGATTCAAATATATAAAAGTATGTGGTAATCATGATTCCCCATTATGTGGCCTTGAAGCCTTATAAAGTTTTCACTTATTAATTGGAATGACTTTATTCTGGGCTGCTTGATATTATTGTGATTACTGTGATGAAATGAACAGCTATTTTGAAGAAAATAAGTCATCATAATAGCTAGTGCTGATTTACTATCATCTTGTTTTGAAGCCCCACCAAGCTATGGCTCTTCTGTCTCCATTGGTTTTATCATGATGTATCTTGCTGGATTTTATTATATGTGATAGTATAAACAAAAATTGTTATAGGCAAAGAGATAATATAGAAACCATTGTTCGTTTTCTGTTAGCTGGTTCTAAATACCCTACAACGCTTTCATCCACTTGAATGGTTTTACACTGACTTGATATGTTTGAAGCTACAGTATATGAAGTTATATTTAAATATTTCAAGGAAAAAGACACTATGGTAATTACTATTAAGTCGGGTTATTTGGTGGTGAAGCACTAGGTTGCTGAAACTGTCATGCTTTGACCTGTATTGTTATGTTGTTATGTCCCCTTTTATCTCAATCTCTCCCTTATTCATTAAAAAAATTATTTAGTTAATTTTTATATTTTTTTTAATTAAGGGGAAAAGTCAAAAAATTAGTAGGATATATTATAGTAACTTTTTTGATTTCCTATTGACTTGATTTGAAGTCCTGTAATACTCCCACTATCTTGTTTTGACTGATTAGACTCTGTTCCATTCTGTATAATAGTATCAAGTTTGAGTGTATAGGCAACTACTTTGAAGGCAATAAGATTCACTATGATGCCCATTCTGGTTTGACTATTATCTTCTTTGGAAGTCCTGTAATGTTTACAAGGTTTAGGTTTTATTGGTCTTGTTCTCTACTGTTTTGTTCAACTTTATAATACCTAATGAAATAGACAATTCTTTTTAAGGAAGCAAGAGGCATTATGGTAACCATTGTTGATAACCTTGTACTCTGTTTTTACATCATGTGCTATGTCTATCCTTGGTTTTGAGTGACAGCTGTTTTGCTATATTTGACTTTATTCTCTTCCAAGAAAATTAATAAGAACTAAGGAGTAATAAAACCCAAAATGTCTAAATTTTGTTGTAAAAAAAAGTACTGTAAAGGATACAACTGCAAGTGTGTTTAGGGGCGTTTAATAGATGACCATATTAATGTTTTTGGTTGGATCATTGAACACAACTGTTTGCAGTCTCACTGTTTGAATGTCCACTTTGTATGCTTTGATACTGTGACTTGAGCAACTATCTCTAAGATGATAATGTGTAATCTATTAACTGGAGATTTCTTACTGTTTTTTTTTTCTTTAGTTCTGTATTACTTGTACCCTGACACCACTTTGTTTTATTTTGTTTTGTTTTCTCTTTTTCCTTTTAAATGAAATTTTAAAAAGTTAGTGGCAGCATCCTGGAAATGGTCCCAGGCCACACAATTCCTTACATGACTCTGGCAAGTCAGTTCCGCACTCCCAGTCTCAGTTCCCCACCTATAAAATAGGAAAGGCTCTGTACAGGACAGTTTCATGCATATCCCTACTTTCTGAGTGGAGAGGTGACTTGCTCAAGATCAAAGTGAACCAGAGCAGAGACACTGGCATGCTGCAGGTCACCCCTCTTGTCCACACCAATCAAGAAAAACTAGAGTCACAGCAAGCCAGAAAACCACATCCTCCACCTTGGTGTTCTGAATGTCTATTGAGGTACCGACCACATGGATGGATGAATAGGTAGAAGGATGGATGGATGGATGGATGGATGGATGGATGGATGGATGGATGGGTGGGTGGATGAATAAGGCAAAAATGTGAAGAACTTTGAGGGCAATTTTTAGCAATTGGGGTGGCTACCTGCCTCCCCCTGATCCCTGACAATTTGCTCCTCTAATTGCAACTGCCAAGCCCCAATGGCAGGCTGCCCTGGATCCACAGAGCCAGAGTTTTTATTATTGTTTTGCACCAGAGATCGACCTTGTGTTTGCCAGGCAGGCACTTACACTGCTGAGCCAAATCCCCAGCTTGATCCAGAGTTCTAAATGCATTGCTCATCTATAGCAGGGAACTAGGACCAATCACAAGAGCAGTATAGTAGGTCCTTGCCCCAGACTTCCTTCTATCCTGTTATTTAGTGCTATGCTCAACAGCTGTAGTTATGAAAAGAAAGTCAAGGGCCAGGGGCCATTTCTAGGAAACTTAAAATATGGGCAGCTCTCCTAGGCCAGTTCCTTAGGCCACTCATGGCTGAATTTAAGCTTCATGCTTACAATGAAGCTCAAGAGTACTGGGGAAGTGCTGGCACGGAAAGAGCTTACCCTGTGCATTTCCAGCCAGCTTTGAATAAGCAAATTAACCTCTCTGTTCCTTGGTTTTCTCATAGGCAAAATGGTACAATGCCTGACAAGTGTTAGGAGGAATTAATTGAGATAGACAATGCTTTGCATGACATAGGTGCTCAGTAAATAGAAGTTTCCTTCCTCTTCTTCCAGATCATGGAGAAATCTGGAAAGGGAAGGAATAAGGTCTACTGTGCACCAGGCAAGTTTTTTCAATCAAAAAGCTTTCCCAAGTACTCTAAGATAGTAAAGTGAATGAAATGTATTTCCAACAGGAAATGAAGGTGGACTCAAGCATACTTGATCTCTTTAGGGGAAAGTACCATTCACCTATTCCCTGCTATCATCCTAGAGCTCTGACACAAGGGATATTTGGCAAAGATTTCCTGATAATGCTGTTGAGAATATCTTTTAACAATTACAGGGAAGTAATCCTATTCCTTTCCACTTCATGTGTAAGCATCTCCCTTCTCTACTTCTCCTTAACCCAGCCTAACTTTCTTTAACAGCCTATCCACCCCATATGGGGTGGCAAGTTCTTCAGTCACCTAATAGAAGGGACACTTGGGCTTGAGCTAAACAGTTGCTAAACAGCCGACCTCATATAATCAAGATTAAAACTGAGGCCCCCACAGTACCATCTGTGAACTCATGGAGCTGAGACTAGAGCCAGGATTTGACCTGTGCTCCAGGTGCTGTGTCTTCTACTTTCACGTGTGGTGACAAAGATAGAGAGTCCTAACATGTGGAGTACCAGAGGGACTTCAACATGAGACAGGCTTAGGTTTGTCTTTCTCACTAACTATCCAACTCTTTGAGCCTGTTTCTCATTCTTAAAATGGGGCTGGGCATGGTGGCATACGTCCTTCTGTAGTCTCAGCACTTTGGAGGCTGAGGCAGAACAATCACCGTGAGTTTGAGATCAGCCTTGGCTACACAGTGAGTTAAAGGCCAGCCTAAACCAGGTGTGGTGGCTCACGCCTATAATCCCAGCACTTGGGAGGCTGAGGCAGGAGGATGATTACGAGTTCAAGATCAGCCTAGGCTACAAAGTGAGCTCAAGACCAGCCTGAACTGCATAAGAGACCTTGTCTCAAAGAGACAAAAATAAATAAAGGCTAGCCTAAACTATATACTGAAGCCCTAATAACATAAAAGTTACTTTCCTTCCATTAGGAAAAAGAAAGGAAGGAGAAAAGGAAGGAAAGGGAAGAGAAGAGAGGGGAAGGGTAGGGAAGGGAGGGGAGATTATACAGGCACTGACAGGCTAATTAGCATTGATCATAGAGGCTGGATCCACTCCATCTCTTCCACTCAAGCACCAACGGGACTATCAGGACCTCTTTCACAGAAATACAGAAGGGTAGGGAAAAGAAGATTATAATTGCTGAGGGCTTTTTGTGTTCCTGCTCTCTATGGTGTTGGTTTATTGGTCTATGATGGTGTAAGCTGGCTCATTTCTAGTTCTCCCGTGGTCTAATTGATGTCATTGGGTTCCTGGGACAGATCATTCTGCCATGACTAGTGTTTCTGCCTCTTCTTAGAAGAATTCAGTTGCATCTGGATTTCATACACCCTCAAGCTATCCAAGTATGGCTGGATTTTCATGGATTCCTGTCTCCAGTGCCCTATTTTTCTCATCTGGTCTGCTATGAACTTTTTTTTCAGATGTTCATACCACTGGCTCGTCTTTTTCCTGGCCTTCTCCAAAGCTCGCTCCTTAAAAAAATAAAAAGAAAAGATAAGGTTAGGATTATGAAGCCACTTCTCAGTAAAAAAGATAACCTAAGGTGAAAAATTATGCTTGCTGGACCCAATATTCATTCCCTAAATACAGTACTGTGATGACTGTAATTCATAAGGAGCCTCAGTTTCCTAATTTGTAGAAAGTGGCTATTAAGCTGGAAAACCTCTATAGCACATTGTGACAGTCTGCAGCTGAGGACTCTGATTTTGACTTTAATAATATTTCTATTGGAAGACTGATAAGAAAGCAATAGGGGGCTATAGTGGTGAGAGGGTGAATCTTGTTTATTCTTCCTTCTGTAACTCCTATTATTCTGTCCGTGTCAACCATTTATTTATTTATTTATTTATTTATTTATTTATTTACTCTTTTTATCGGTACTGAGGATCGAACTCACAATCGCCTGCTTGCAAGGCAGATGGTTATGCCGCTGAGCTAAATCCCCAGCCCTCGTGTCAACCATTTAGTGTTTTCCACATATAGTCTGTGACATTTCTTATATCACAATAATTCCATTCATTCCTTCTACCGTGTAACTTCCGTCCTCTCCCCACCATGGAACAGGCCTGGGAAGGCGCGGCCTATGTCTTCTTTATTCAGTTATTTTAGTGCACTAGCTGAGGGAATGGATGCTAAGAAAAACCAGCCACAGATATTCCTAATAACTACTGTATGAGGAGGGAGATGTGCCCAAACATGTCTAAACCAGGCAGAAAGTGATACTCACTTTTTTAAAAAAGCATATTTCAAAGAGGGAAGAAAAGCTCCATAGGGCTGAGGATGTTGCTCAGTGGCAGAGCACTTGTCTCGCATATGCGAGGTCTCGCATTTGATTTCTAATACTGAAAACAAGAAGCTATGTGGAAGAGCTAACACATAAATTGTGTTTGAGTTCGAAGGACAGGGAGTTTGGAGCATCTGATATCAAATCTGGCTTTTTGGGTTTTCATTGTTGCAGGGGTAGGGATGGAACCTACTGAACATGCTAGAACATGCTAGACAAGTGCTCTCCCATGAAGTGTATACTCCCAGCTCCAGCTCTTAGTTTTTGTCACCCTTAAGAGGACTCTGAAAGCATCTTTTAAGCATTTTCCACTATTCTAAGTAATAATCCCATGGGCCCATCTGGTGTCCCCTTGCACATGAAGGGAAGCTCAACATCTAAGAAGGGGGCAATAGCTCAACTCTGGGATGCCTGATCTGCTTGAAAAAAGGAGTATGTTCCTAAAAGTCACTTTTGCTCACATGACTCTTCCTAATGCTTAATGTTGCCTATTTCAAGCAATCACTAAAGACATGTTATATGGATCAGGCTCTCTGGGGACAGTGGGGTGACAGTTGGGATTTTTGAGTAGGGAGGCCAACCCCTACTTCTCCATAAGCAAAAATGAGGAGCTTCAGTTTTCATATGGAAAATAGGAAACCTCCAAAGGAAGAAAAAATTGAGCAGATAGTGTTGATACTAATTGAAGCTCTAGGACCTAAAAATGTATGGGAGATAGCAAGAACCCATTAATGGATTACCTAGAAAGATCATATGCTTTAAGAAGAAATGCTGCTTGGGCAAATCAGTAACAAGTATCAATTGTCTGCTCTGTAAAAATATGACCTGTCTTAGGACACTTTGATGGTTCCATATCACATGTAGGACATTCTCCCTGGCCCAAGACATGAAATTAATTTGGATCAACCCACTAACACCCTGTAAATGCAAAAGCTTGTGGCCACTTTACCTGTAACTCATAGGTTCGTTGACCATGGAGGTTGTCATGCATAATCACCTGAGATAAACGACTCTTGGGTAAGACTTTTCTCACAGCGACTTCACTGCAATTCATTAAGCTAGAATGGAGATGGAAAGGTTATACAGGTTAGAGATGGCTGGTAGGTCAAGTGCCTGATGAGAGGGGTTTCCAGGGGGAGGGGCGGAGGTCTCCCCAGGTTTCTTTCTTCCTTTCTTTCTTTTTCTGGGCATGGTGGCACACACCTATAATTTCAGCACTCAGGAGCCTGAGGCAGCAGGATAGATGCTAGTTCCAGGATATGGTGGGCTACAAAGTGAGTTCAAGTTCAGCCTAAACTACATAGGAAGACCTTATCTCAAAAAAAAAAAAAAAACCTAGATATAAAACCTAAAACTCTGCTGAAAGAAAATATAGGGGAAACACTTGAAGCTATAGGTAGAAGCAAAGACTTTCTAAATAGGACTCTAATGGCTTAGGAGATAATATCAAGAATCAACAAATATGACTACATTAGAAAGTTTCTGCACAATGAGGGAAACAGCAGGTGAAAATTGTTGCCAGTTACTCTTCCAATAGAGAATTTGTATGTATTTAGAATATATAATGAACTTCACAAATTTAACACCAAAATATCAAATAGCCCAATCAATAAATGGACAAATGAATTGAACAGATATTATGCAAAAGAAGTACAAATGGTCTATATGAAAAAAGTCCAAAATCTTTAGCCATTAGAGAAATACAAACTAAAATTACACTGAGATTCTACCTCATCCTAGTTAGAATGGTTACCTCAAGAAAGCAAAGAAACAATAAATGCTGGTGTGGATACAGGGGAAAAGAAACCTGTCTACGTTACATTGCTGATTGGAATGTAAATTAGTACAGCCATTATAGAAATCAGTATGGAGGTTCCTTAAAAACCAGAACTAGAACTACCATTTCATACAGTGATATTACTCCTTACTGTGTCCAAAATGGTTAAAGTCAGCCAGTATACTATAATGATAACTGCTCCATACTGACTCTGGTGGTGAAAAAAAAAATGATAACTGCATACCCATATTAATTGCAACACAATTCACAATAAACAAGATATGGAACCAATTTATATTCCATTAACAGATGACTAGAGAATGAATTCAAGCTCTGCCCTTCCATTGCATCCTGGAGGATGGGGCCAGCTGGAAGACAGTGAGTTCGGGCTCCTAGCCTCCTCTATTAACCCGACCAGCAGCAGCAGCTGTGGCAGCAGCAGCAGCAGCAGCAATGGTGGGGCCAACTGGAAGAGTTTAAGGCCAAAGGGAGCCCCAAGACCCAAGACAGCAGCCCAGCTCACAGGCACACACACACACACACACCTTTAGAGGGCAAAGTAATCAATGAGGCCAGTAGCGTGGAAGTGCCTGAAGCAGCAGTGGGGAGACAGCTCTACCAACAGAAGACCAGTCCCAGCCCCACATCCAGAGGTCAAGATCAGCACATGTCTGGTATGTAACAGACAGTATCACCTCCATTGTACCATCATATCTGTGGTACCACATAGACATCAAATGTAAATACCTGAAGTACGTAGGTTCTTGGGATATCTATAAGGAACTAACTACATCTGGAGGACATCCCTGAGGAACAGACATCTTTTTTCCTCCTTGAGAGAGACCTCAATGCTAGTAATAGAACTATACATCATGGGAGGTTGGCTGGCATTAACATAGAAGACAAAATTTAAAAAAGAGAGAAGGTAGAGAATGGAAAGACACAAAGGAAGGGTGTGCTCCTGACCCCCAGCCTACTTAGGACAGGCCTGGAACTCAATGAGATGTACAAAGTTCGAAGTCAAACACTGGAACTTTCTAACATGATAACAACAGAAGTGAAAAAAGTGGAAAAGGCTGTAGAGAAAATGATCTCTCAGGTACAGAAAGAAATAATGCTTAAAATCAAAGATATTAGAGAAAACACAAATAAAAGAATAGATGAGCTTAGGAAAATATGGAAACAAAAAAATGCCCAAAGTAGGAAAGAAATGGAAACCAATGAAACCATGAAACCAATCCAAACAGAGATTCAGTAGATTAAAACCTCCACTGAAAGTATACGCAACAGACAGATGAAGGAAAAGATAGAATTTCAGCTCCTAAAGACAGAATTGAAGCTTGTGATCATGAAAAGAAAGATATCTTAAAAATAGCAAAAGACCATGAGAAAGGGAGTAAAGAAGAATGACACAAGATTGACAAGGGTCAGTGAGAAAGCTGGAGACAGCACAAATGCCGTAATGATCATAAATATATATGCACCTAATACAGAAGCACCCTACTATATAACACAGTTATTGGTAGACACAGAAAATCAAATGAGCAATAACACAATTGTAATGGCAGACAATACCCCATTGTCACAGAAAGACAGACCAACTAGACAGAAAATCAGCAAAGAAATATCAGAGCTGAACCAAACCTGTGAACAAATGGACTTAATAGGAAGAAGCCATGCCTCAAGGACACACACTAGTGGCCCAGAGACCTGAGAAGCCCAGCACCAGCCCTAAGCCCCACCGCCACCAGGGGAGCATCAGTGAACCACTGCCCCATGCCTACCCACCATTCCAGGAACCCCAGATTGGAGGAACCTGGGTGCCTACTCCAATCCACTACACTGAGGGACTGGCAGCCAATGCAGGAAGTATGCAGCAGTAGGCTGATTTGGAGGAACACAGGAAAATGTCAAGGCAAAGGAGCAAAATACAATCTCAGACCTCCATCCCACACAGAACAAGTTCAGGAGACACAGCCATAGTAGAAAGGTCTGAAAAGATTACAACTGAATAAAGAAGCAACTTAGTTCTTGTTTAGCTAATTTTATATGTCTTGACAAGACAAGGATGTCCCTTATCACCACACCTATTCAATATAGTACTGGAAACACTAGCCAGAGCAATTAGATAAGAGAAAGAAATAAAAGGGGTAAAGATAGGAAAAGAGGAAGTTAAATTATCATTATTTGCAGATGACATGATACTTTACATAGAAGACCCCCAAAACTCCATTGAAAGACTCCTAGATATAATAAATTTAGCAGTGTAGCTGGATACAAAATCAATGCTCAAAAATCAATAACATTTATATATATTAACAACAAAATTACGGAGAGAGAAATAAGAGAAGCCACACCTTTCACACTAGCATCCCCAAAAAATGAAATATTTAGGAATTAATCTCGGACTTCCAGGAGAACATGGCGGATAGATAACAGCAGCTATGGAGGCTCTCTGAGGTAGCCAGCTTAGAATTCAGGAATGGTGTGGTGTGAGGAGTCCTTAGCAAAGGGATATATACCCTGCTGACCCAGGAACGAACTAAGCTGAGAGAAACCAACTGGAAATGCAGTCCTGGTGCTATAAATGGAACAGATAAAATCTCAGTGCTGAAGCTAGAACCCATGCCTCTGGAAGCCGCAATTTGAATTTGCTGCTGCATCTGAATCAGCAGAGCAGGGAAAAGAGGTGAAACCTCTGAGCGCGAGAATCAGTGAACAGAGTTAAGAGCGGGACTGGCGGGGAGTCCTGCATTAACGTGCAGTGAGTGAGAGGAATGGGGACCCTTTCATAGACTAGGAGCTTCAAAAGAGAAAATTCTGAGACCAGGCAGACTAGCCAGAACAGGACGCTGCAGTGACTTTAGTTGCATATTCCCCTCTCAAGTGGGACTGGTGGGGAGCGCTTGGCCTGGGTAATGCCACAGACTAAGACCAGTAGACTAGCCCAAACCAGGTCCCAGCACCTGGCAGTGTGCCCTAGCAGTGAAGCCTTTAGTAGGTTGACTGACCTGGAGAGGCGGGCCCAGCAGAGGCTGCACAGGTCTGTGTCTCCCTAGTACACTGCAGTGGGCGGGAACACCTAACCTGTGCAATTCAAACAAACTGTAACTAAGAAAGAAAGAAACTGGGCCTCCTATGCTTGTATGGAAAAAACAAAAAGTATGGGAAGAGGGAGCAGTAAGAAAGGGTCCTCGGCCCCCAATCCTGAGAACACTGATCCAGGAAAGTTAAATGCAAAGGAGAATAAGGACAGAAAACATGTACTATCAGACATGGCACCAACAGACATAAAGCGATACCTCCAGAGCCTCATAGACAAGTTCAAAAGTGAAGTATTTAATGACCTAAAGCAAGATATAAGTAGAATAGTTAGAGAAATGCTAAGCACCGCCCAAGAAAAAACAGATGGTGGAATGGAAGAACAATAAAAAAGGGCAGAATTGTTTGATGGAGAAAATAGAGAAAACATAGAATATGTGAAGCAGGTTCAAAGAGATTACCAGGAAACTAAAAACTCTATTGAAACCTGGCATAACAGCTTGAAAGAAACTAAGGATAGATTATCTGAACTGGAGGACAGATTTGTAAGGTGGGAGCATGGAGGACAGATTTGTAAGGTGGGAGCATGAAAGGAAAAACTTAAAAATCACAAGAAAACAAACATCAATAATACAAAGGCTAGAAGATGATAAGAGGATCTATAACTTAAGAATTAAGAACATAAAAGAAGACGTAGGGACACAAACAAATGAACTACAAAGGCTATTCACAGAAATAACCCAGGAGAATTTCCCTAATTTAGCAAATGGTAAAGATACTCAGATGCATGATGCATACAGGACCCCAGCCACTTACAACCCAAACAGAACTACACCCACACATATAATAATCAAAATTTGAGAAATCCAATATAAGAACAGAATATTAAAAGCAATCAGAGACAAGAAACAGATCACTTACAAGGGAACACCCATCAGAATTACAGCAGACTTCTCAGCACAAACCATCAAATCACGAAGAGCGTGGGGGGAAATAATTCAAGCTTTGAAAGATAATAACCTCCAGCCAAGATTGAGATATCCTGCACAACTGTCCCTAGAAATTGATGTAAAAACAAGGTGCTTCCAGGATAAAGAGGAACTAGGGGAATTTGAAACCACCAATTCAACTCTACAGAGAATACTGCAGGATATTCAAAAAAAAGAAAATACCAAGATCCCAGACACAGTGGCAGAGAGGCCACAATGAATGGAGCAGAAAGTAAAATGAAGAAGACAA